TAATCCCAGCAACTGGGGAAGCTGAGGCAGGAGGACAGCAGGTCAAGGCCAGCCTCAGGAAATAGTGAGGCCTTAAGCAAATAGTGAGACGCTGTCTCAAAATAGAAAATAAATGGGGCTGGGCATTCCTTGGGGTTGAACCCCTGGTAGCACCCACCATTTTTTTTTTTTTTGCTATTGGTAGGCATTTGTATTTTGCATTAAATATGAAATACTTAAAGGTAAGTATGATGAGCTAAGGATTTATTGTAAATTCTTAAACTCTAGGACTAGGACAAAAACTAAAACACTTTTTAAAAATAGGTTTAAAACAGGTTACACCTGTTTTACCTATACAAATATGACTCTACTAATCTGCTCCTTGGTATTTATATTTAAACATTTAAAATACATATAACAGGCATAACAGATATTCATCTTCTTTTGGATATTCAGCCTTTTATTTCTCTTTTTTAAAATTCTAATTTGTTACATATGTTGGCAGAATGCACTACAGTTCATATTACACATAAAGAGCACAATTTTTCATATCTCTGGTTGTCTTGAAGAACTAAGTCATCATCCTACAGTGATACATGCACACCCATGTTTATAGCAGCATGATTCACAGTGACCAAACTACGGAACCAGCCTAGGTGGTTCATTCATGGTTAATAGTTTGCAAGCTATAGAAGGTAGAAGCTTATAGAAGGGTATCTGGGAACAACCTCTAGTTAATATCATATTTAATCATGAAAGGTTCTACATTTTCTCCTAAGGTTGAACAAAGCAAGCATGTACCCTTTAATCTCTTCCTATTCCTAGCCCAGTACACTTTAACAAGAAAAAGAAATAAAAGGCAAATTGAATATTAAAAAATAAATAAAATGTATTTATTCACAGATGAATTGGCTGTGTACATAGAAAATCCTGGGGGGAAAAGGAGTTGAATAAGGTCACTTTATACAAGTCCAAGATTAAAAACTCAATTGGACCTATATACTCGCAACAAATTGGAAAACAACATTCAAAAAATACCATTTGCAATAACATAAAAAAAAACAAATATTTATTTAGTGAAACATTTAACAAAATATGTACAAAATGTCTACTTTGGAAACCATAAAACAGTGCTGAGACATATTAAGGAAGACCTAAATAAGTGGAGGTCAAAGTCATGGATTAGACCATTCAGTGTTGTTACAATGTCCTCTGTCTCCAAACTGCTCCAGAGATTCAATGCAATACCAACCAACATCCCATCTTGAGGAACTTGGCAAACTGACTACAAAACTTATTTGTAAACACAAAGAACCTATAATAGCCAAGACAAGTCTAAAGATAAAGTGAGAAGACTTACACTACCTGATTTCAAGACTCACTATAAAGACTCACTAGACAGTAATCAAAATAATGTGGGGAGTTAATATTAGAACAAAATAGAGATGAAGGGACCAAAACAGGGAATTCAGAAATGACCAAACTATGCATGATCAACAAAGATGCCAAGATAATTCAATGAGGAAAAAAACACAATTATTTCAAAACAAAGAACTGGTTGTTCATAAGAAAGAAATAATTTAGAGCTTAATTTCATGCTATACACAAAAACTAACTAGAAATGGACCATAGACCTCAATGTAAAAGATAAAACTATAAAGTTTCCTAGACAAAAACAAAGTATGAATTTTTCATAACCTTTTTGTAGGCAAAGAATTTTTATACATTGCCCCCAAAAACACAAACTGTAAAAGAAAATTGGACTGTACATCGTTTAAAACCTCTTGCTTTTCATAAGACAGAATTTAAAAAAAAAATGTAAAGTCAGGGGAGGAAAATACTTGAAAAGTTAAGGGGGAAGAAATACCCACAATATATACTTATACATCCTAATACACATACAAAAGACTTACATCCAGAATACATAAATAATCTGTGATTTCAAAACAAAATAACAGGAACATATTCAAAACTTTGTTCAAAAGAGGAGATTAGTGAGGAGGAGGCAGGAGCCACCCCTGGACCAACAAAGCTGTCCCCTGTATCCCTGCATTCAGCATCTCCATCCTGCCAAAGTGGCCGTCATGCCCAAGAGAAGGGCAGAAGGGGACACTGTGGGAGATAAAGACACAGTGAGAGATGAAGCACAGAGAAGCCCCAAGAGGCTGTCTGCTAATCGTGCTCCTCCAAAGCCTGAAAAGGTCCCTGCAAAGAAGGGGGAGAAGATACCCAGAGGGACAAAGGGAAAATCGCCCAGTGGAGAACACAGATGCCCAAACAGGCCAGGCACAGAAGCTGATGGCACTGGAGATGCCAGGGCAAATGTATACATTTCTGGTAACGATGTACTTCTGGGGACTCTAGAGTTTGAAGTATTATTTTTGTCAAGTTCTATAAAAAAGCAGAATTTTTAAAGCCATATTGTTGGCACACAGAACACTTAATTGTTTTTTGAGGAAGGTACATATCTCACCCATAAAAAGTCTCCAAAACTGGATTGCTCTGGGCAAAAACACTTTTCCCTGCTAGTTTTGAGATACGTGTTCTTGGCTCCCAGGAGGAGGGACTCCCTGACATGATACATGTGGCCACCCTCAGCACAGATGCATTGTGGTGTGGGGAAGCTCAAGTTCATCTTTCTGCCCCCCCTCTCCCTCTCTGCCACAGATCTAGATTTATCTCACTCAAATACAAACACCTCTGGGGACCTGACCAGTGTGCCAGGCAATCAGGACTTTCCAGGGACATTACTGAGACAGTGTCCCTCAGAAGGGCAACGGTTCCTTTTCTAAACTGCGGCTGTTCAGATTGGTAATTCTGCCATTTTGATTTCATTTCCTGTAAGTCGGGGTCGGCTCGTGAAAAGTGATCAAACAACATGCTAAAAGTGAAACGACAACCCTCACTCTCACACTTTCCCTGTCCAGAGCATCAAATGATGACTTCTTTGGGTGTTACAATGGCTTTCTGATTTGGACAGTCCATCCAAGAAGGGAGTTTGAAAGTTGTTATACATGTTAACAATTGTCTGCCCATGTCCTGTCTGGAATACCATAATTGTTTATGAAAAGTATCTTTAAGAAAGCTGAATACAGTTTGTTTAGAAAAAATACAAATGTATAAAAAGCACAGGGAAAGGAACCCAATGTCTAGGCACTGAGGAGGTATAAATTAAAACCATAAAGCTATACAACTACACATCTACCTGAACATCTCAAATGAAAAAGACCCACACTGCCCAGCACTGGCAGTCATGTGGAACAACCACAAGTCTTACACACTGTCATCAGGATGTAAACTAGAACCACTGTGGAATTTCTTATAAGAAGTTTGATGACTTCTTAAAAATAGATACATATTCATATGATCCAAAAATCCCACCCAAAAGAAAGAAAGCATATATCTATAAAAGGACTTATACACGTGATCATGACAACTTTATCTGTAATATTTCCCAACTGGAACCAACCATGAAGCCCATCCATTGTTAAACAGATAAATAAACTGTGGTATATTCATAAAATAGAAACCCAGCAATATAAATACAAACAACTGATATAACAAACACAGATGAATCTCAAAATCATAATTCTAGGAGGGAAAAAAAAGACAAAAGAGTACATACAATGATTCCATTTATGAATTTCCTGAGCAGGCAAAACTAATCTATAACAAGAACGCAGACCATCAGACGCCTGGGGAGCGGGACTGATGGAGTACACTGCAGAGGTACAAGGGGACTTTGGAAATGATGAACATACTCCTCTCACTTTTAGATTTTCAAAACAGTTGATCTTGTCTTAATTTGGCCTTGCAGAACGGTTAGATACAGAGACAGTGGTAGAGATGGGAAGGAACAGTATGGTATTCTACCTAGTGCCAAAAGGGTGAGCAGAGCCACCCAACTGAGGAATTAGAGTGAAAGTGGGGAACAGCTAGTGGGTGTTTTTAATAAACTTTATTGAGGCATAATTAGCATCCAGCAAGATGCACCCAGTTTAAGTTAAAAGTTGATGGATTTTTAGAAATGTGCATGGACCCATATGACCACCCTCTCATAGAAAGCTTCCTTTTAAAAATTACTTCAAGCTGTTTACATGTTTAGTAATCATATTTTATTAAAACAAAACAGTTTTGAGGCACTAGACAATGAAACATAGGCCTTGGAATCAGCTCTAGATTTAAATCCTACTTCTAGAGCAGGTCACTTAATTTCTCAAAAGTCTCAGTTTTCTCATCCGTAGAATGGTAATATTACTAAAACCAATGTCACAAGATTGTTGTGAAGATTAAAAGAAATAATGATAAACTTCTAGCAATATGCCTGGAACATAGTAGGGCCACTAAATGGTATTGTCCTTTTCGTGACCACATAGGCACGTGTTGCATGGTTATCCCGTAGTCCCTAGTTACAGTATTAACTGCGGAACCTGCCAAAGGCTTTGAGATGGTCCTAAATGAATCTGTTGAAAGACTAACCCAAATGGCAGTTCTGAGTTCCGCTCCCCTGCTGTTTCTCCTTCACATTCAGTGCTGACAGAACCAAAGTATTTCATGCTTAAACATTTTGCTTCCAGACAGAACAGGCCATTTGAGAATCAATTCTGGAACACATTTAAAACAGGACTTTTAAAAGGTTTTGCCCTCAGGTCGTCAGACCTGCTGCCTGGGCTTTAAGTGGAGCCTGACCCCCCTCATTTCATACCGCTGGGAGCCGGAGATGCTGGCCTCTAGGATCCCCTCAAATGGCCCTGCTGTGGGCTTGACCCCCTGCTCCATCCCACTGGCTGGCTGGTGCCCTGACTCTGATCCAGCTCCAGTACCCGCCTTGGGCCTGTCTCCTGGGGTCAGGACCTGTCGCCCCACCCATTCAGCTCTGCAAGTTGTCCTGGTGGTCACCAACACCTTGTCAGGATCAGCTTCCTGGGGTGCCCGAGGCCCAGCTCCCAGCACACAGGAGCCAGGACACAGTCACAAGCATGGTCTAAATTCAAGGGTCACGGGGATGGAGTGCCATCTACCTGAGTGACAAAGAGCTGGAACTCCTCAGGCAGAATCCATGAGCGAGGATAGAAGTTGTACTCCTCAGGAAAGAGATTCTGCATCATCCTGACCGCTCTGCTCAGGGTCACTTTGCGTACCATCTCCGTCATGCCTGGGGAGAAGAGAAGCTGTGAGGTCGGAGCCTCGGGGAGGCGCCAGTTATAAAGCAGCCATTATCCGGGATTTTAAAACCACTCGCCCCCCGCCCCATAATCACTTTTTTCAAGCAGCATTTAAAAACAGGTTTGAACTGTTCCCCATAGCACTGACTCATGATTTGGAAAGCGCTACCAAATTCATGAAAATGGATGATTTTTTTTTTCTCCCTATAAAAACGAAGCATCAGTTCGAAAGGATGAATTTTCACCTAGTTTATTATTCTATTATTTGTCCTCCCTGGGGGTAATGAATAGAGAAGCATTTCTATCTTGCACTTAAAACTTAATACCCTCTTTAATTTGGGGCCAGAACACATGATTCTGGGATTCCTTCTATCTTGTACCCTAGAGAATATTATCTAGTGCACTCTGGTGACATTGTGAGAAGTTTAATTAAGTTGCTTTGTTTTAATCTTTCACGGGTATTAAAAGCATAAAATGGAAAATACACACCTTTCGGCATAAAATCTGTCTCCTTGAACCAAGGACAGGAAGTGGAGAGGAAACCATAGCATAATTTATAGTTTAACAGGGAAAATGAATTCATACGAGTTCTTCAGTTATAAGCACTGACATTGACATTGATCAGCTCTCATTAATTTACCCAGAGGGGACTGAAATGTCTCACTTGAAAAACACTTTAAAAGAATGGTGGATTTTTTCCCCCCTTGTAACATCATTAGTAACTCTGACAAGAAACTGAGCATAAATCTTAGCAAAGTTTAAGCAAATAGGTAAAAAATTATTTTAAGTTTTCGCCTCCTTATTTCTTAAGGCAAATGTCACTACTAAAAATGGAGGCTAAAAATAACCTTCACCCTGAAAAAGACTAAACAGTCCCATGACGGAAACTAGAAATTTGCTTAGCACAATCCATTTTTAATAGAGAGTCCAGAATTCCATGTCCGCTTGGCATGCCCAAGTTACCGCACATTCCCAATGGGCTCCGTCAGGATGAATGAGGTTTCTCCCAACACCCACATTCAGGAAGCAAATGAACTTCTAAGAAGGCAGGTCTTAATAACCTACTTCTTGCTTCCCTCTGCATATTAAAGAGAGCAATAAATCTAAAGATTGCAGCTTCAAGGTGTCAATGCCCAAGTTCTTAGCTCCTGTTTGGAAGGATATAGGGCAGGATTAAGGGAGGAATAAAAGAGCTTAGGAAGTACCAATTAACTGTGCTCTGATGTGGACTCTTCGATGTTAAAGAAAACTCTGCCCAGAATGCTGTCCTGAGGATTCCAAGAAACGAGCTTGGAAAATTATAGCTATTTCCTTTTATCCCCAGCCCCAGTAGAATTTTTGAGTTATAAACACCACAGCTGAACGCCAGGTGAACAAAACAACATTTCAACATGTTTGATTGAACCTTTCTACTTATATTCGACTACCATTTTAGTTACAGTATTAAATCAAAAATCTTCCAAGCTAACTGTAATGTAACAAGTCCGCACACCCAGTAGAAATGGTGGCTCCGAACCAAACAGTGTGGTGGTATTTCTGCACCTTCATGGCAGTGTGACAGGTTCTCTTTCTGAAACCCCTCAGCAGGTCAGAAGGAAATGAACAATTCAGACAGAAGTGCTGTGAATACAGCAGGGGGGCAGTGGAAAGCTCCAGAAAAGTCTCATGAATGTCAGTGTCCAGCCAGTGGAGGAACCGCTCATTCTCAGTCTGCAGGGCTCCTTCTGTAATGTGCACCCTCAGTCCCACCAGCTGACAGAAGTTTCCAGGTTTTTACTTCCAGGCAGCCAACTTAGGAAGCACCTCTGTGGCCAATGGCTACTTGCCCTGGTACTCCTGCCTGCAGAGGGCAGCTGCTCACCCCTAATCCTGCCTGAATGCCTGTCTCCAGGAGGCACTGGATGAGCCCTTCCTCACCCACCTACTACCTAAGACTTTGTTCCTCTCCATATCTAAGCCATGGTCCCATCCAGTGCTGCCTGGGAAAGAGTCTCAGGCCCTCACAAACCCCTCACAGAAGTTGCTGACATCCAGCCTCTGCAGGTGGCCCAGAGACAGGTGTGGAAGTGGCGCCTTCTCACACTACAACCCTGACAAGAGTGGACTCATGCTCCCCAAGTAACTGAGTGACAGGGAGGTGGCCGCCGCCCTGCTGGCTCCAGACCCTGCCTTCCTTCCCTAAGCAGCCACAGTCCTTCCCCGCTTCTCATCCGGGACCCTTCCCTGGGCTCCAGACTCATCATGACATGTGGTGGAAAGTTCAGGTCTAACCTTAAGCTGTCCCCTGCTACAAGTTTGATCCCGACTCTCTGTCCCAATTAGATAAGGAGGCTTTTATGTGTTTTTCTGAGGCTCCATTGCTTGTTCCCAAATTTTCTTTTTTTTTTTTAAAGAGAGAGAGAGAGAGAGTGAGAGAATTTTTTAATATTTATTTTTTAGTTATCAGCAGACACAACATCTTTGTTTGTATGTTGGTGCTGAGGATCGAACCCGGGCAGTATGCATGCAAGGTAAGCGCGCTACCACTTGAGCCACATCCCCAGCCCCTGTTCCCAAATTTTCATAGCCTTACCTTTTGCTTCCTGTGGCTGAGTGGCCATCACTATGCACAAAACTCAGGCCTTGCCTTGTTCTCTCCAATGCCTCCCCAGCCCCCATATGTGCCCTCAAAGGCTGGACTTAGCCCAGTATCTGGGATCCTGTGCTGACCGCCAGAGTCTCTCAATGAGGTCTGCCCTAGATGTCCCTATGGTGGCAGTTCTCCCATCAATTGGGAAGACCCTCTAGCCTTGGGTTGCAGCTTTGACACAAGGGCTGGCCTCCTGTCACTCCTTCTGAGGTGTGGGTTCTTCTGTCTGCTGCGCTGCAGCCTCAGGGCCTGGGGGTCTCATCCCTTTGGAGTTACCAAGAGTGTAACAGCTGGATCCTCAGACCTGCCCATGCAGCCCTACCGAACCCAACAAAAGCCAAACAAACTGAGCTGTATTTGGAGCACTATTCAATCCAAGTAGCATTGAAACCAAAAATTCTTGACATTATAGCCACCAAAAAGAAATACTTTCTGCATTCCCATTGCCACTAATTAGCTGATCTCCTGCCCGGGTGCTGCAGTGACCCCTTCCCTGTATCTCTGTTCTCTCTCTCAGCCTTTCCACCCACCTCCAATGTGACTCTCTGGCTGGTCTTTCTAAAACACAAGCTTGACCCACATCATTCTCTGGTTTAGAAATGTCTTGGAGCCCCCCATCCCCAGGAGTCCCTGCCCCTCACTTCTCCACCCACTCTCATTTGATGGGCTCCCATCATCAGGGGCCCATCAAATGAGAGTCCTCTGCCTCCTGTTTGGTATGAGGCCAGGCCCATCCATTCCTGGAGGCTCAGTGCCAAGGCCGATCCTCTTCTCCTGGATCTCTCACCCCCTCAAGCAAATCTGGATCAGGTTGCTCCTGACTCCCACACGCTCCAAGCTTCCCCAGGCGCAGCACTTGGGTTGTGTTTTGCTCTCTCCTGCGTGACTTTCTCATTATCTTAGTGTCCTCCGAGCCCAGAGTAGTGCTGGGCCACCCCTGCAGATTCCCCCACTGCAGCCCCCTCCTTGTGGTCATCTCTCAAGCACTGCCCACCCTGCGCTGCCGCACATCTCAGACCTTGAAACTCAGGAAAAAAATAAATAAATAAATAACCTGTTGTTTGTAAGCTGGGAACTGACAATTTGGGTTGAAGCAAAGACATATCTAACTCAGATTACTTTTTATAGAAAATCATAATTTACCGGTTAAAATATAATAGTATATTTTGAATAAAGAAATTGCCCAGAGAAAAGCAAATGAAATCCAAAATGCTGATACAAACAAAATAAATTACTTCCATATGCATATCCCAAAGTTTTCCGTTTGCGCAGCATGTGAAATAGCTACACCTCTCTGGAGCACTGCCTAGAACTTAAGTAGCATACCAGGCCTAGGAAGTGCATTTTTAGAATAATGGGTGTATGGGAGACAAGATAAATGTGGACACGATTGGAGCCACAGGACAGGATGTTCTGGAATCGCCCACGGTTGAGGATTTCTGTCTTCCACAGGGCAGTGCTGCTGCTCCGCCCAGAGGTTCCAGAGCCTGCTTTGTCATTACAGCTAATTAATTGTTGTTAGTAAAGTGGAAAATTACAAGTTCCAGTCACTTGTATGTGGAGTACGGGATGGGCAAACTTGCCTCTTGGAATGAACGTACTTTCATCACCTTTAATAAAACTAGTCCTTCAGGAGTACTTTTTCCCCCTATATTTCTAATTTGTTTTCCAAATATAGATCCAAACATAGCTACAGCTCTCCCACTCTCAGCCGTTTGCTGGGGCATGAGCAAATGGAGAAAATGTAGATGAAGCCTCATTTGATGATTCGTTTCTTAGTGATTTCATTCTAAAGACTCCTTCACTTCCAGGTTGGGTTCTCCCCAAACCTTAAAAAGTCCTTTTACTGACATGGAAAAGTATCTTTTTTTTTTTTTTCTGAGCAGCCCGACAGGAGAATACAGTAGCTATCCCATTAAACGGGTGTGCAGGAACCCTGTTCGCAAATCAATCTTGTTCCCTAACAGAATTCTCTCTCCTTCTCTAAGGACAAACAGACCTTGGGTTAACCTTCTGTCTCAGTATCCCTGGAAACCAAAAAAAAAGGGGAGATTGTTATCTGTGTTGGTAGACAACAAAGTGCACAGTTAAGATGTTCCCTGATGGTTGAATTGTTTAATACCTGTAGGAAGCCATAGCTCTAGGCTGTCTTAGTGGTGATTTTAATAACTTAACATAACTCTTACAGGGACCTTGGAAGCTGTGCTATGGAGCAGTTAAGAGAGACACTGACTCCTTGGGGCATCTGAGCCAAGATAGATGTGGATCTGGTCTCCTTACACCTCCTCTCACTCACTCAGCCAGAGGCCAGCTCCCAGTACTGTAGAGAACATCTCATTGAAGAGAAATGCTGGACATGGACTGGCTGACAAGCTATGCTTCCTGCCCTACGTCCTTCTAAGGGAATCCGAGCCAAGTGTGGCCTGTGGCAGTGACCTTGTCAGTCTGCACGCTGAACTTGAAAATCCCCTCGAGAATGGGGCAAAAGTAGTCAGTGTAAGAAAATTGTTTCCTGAGAGGTGTTTTCTTCAAGGCAGAGGGTGGACTGCCAAAGAAAAAGTGGATTGAATTTCCTTCTAATATAAGTACAAATAATATGATATTAAGGAAAAAACACCTTATATTTAGGCAAGTATAACTGCAGCCATATAAAAACGATAAACATGGTTAAGATTTGGATGAAAATACAGAAACATTCACATTGTTATTTGTTACATGAGGAATGGGATTCAGGGTGATATTTTCTTTTTTTTAAATTATTTATTATTGTACTAGAATATGATTTGTGCAATACATTATCAAAACAACTGTAAGACCCCATGGCAGGAAACTTAACTAAATGTTCCCTTCTCCCCTTAGCCTCCCTCTTCATGTAGCCATCAAAAATAATGAACAGCAGTAATCACAGAACAAGGTGGTAAAAATTTAAAAACAAAATAAAAAGCATAAGTGGCATCTGGGTATAGAGTGGAGGAGACTTTTAATATGCTGGTTATGACAATTTTCTGGCCACCCTCCTTGTAGGGTAAGTCCCATGGAGACAATGTCATTAGCTTTGTAATACTTAGCATAGGGACTAGTGTATTCAGTTTTGTTTTTTTTTTTAAATGGAACCTCCAAATACAATTCTAAAAAAGAGGAAGTTGCCAAACATGGTGGTGCACACCTGTAATCCTAGTGACTTGGGAAGACCGAGGCAGGAGGATTACAAGTTCAAAGACAACCTCAGCAAGTTAGGGAGCCCTAAGCAACTTGGCGAGATCCTGTCCCAAAATGAAACAAAAAGGGCTGGGGATGTGGTTCAGTAGTTATGTGCCCCTGGGTTCAATCACTGGAACAAAGAAAAAAGGGGTGGAGGGTGATATACCATTTCTGTGATACATTCTTAGAAGTGTAGTATTTCAGTTTCCTGCAAGAGAAATGTTCTGTTCCTTTATTTTGAGAATATAGTCCCTTCATTTGACCTCCATATTATATCTATAACCCAACAAGTGAAAATCATGTCCTTCCACCAGTAGGATTAGACCAAGAAAGTCTGGCTTTAAACCTGCACAAGCCAGTCTGCAATCTTTAAACCCCTAGTGGCTTAAGACCTGATTACCTCTGCGCTGACTTCCCTCCCAAGGGGACAGCAATACAGCAGAGCACAGGCAGCGAGTCCCAATTAAGAGTCCTCAAGTTTGATCTCAAAACGCTGACATGTTTTTGTAGAACATACTCTGGGACTCGGCTCGAGAAACACAATAACAGCAGATACCTGGAAACTTGTTCACTTGACCGGATAATATGTCATTGTCATGAAATGAAACTCCATGCCAGTAGATGTCACAAGGCAAGCGTCGGCCAAATGGGAACTAGAAGACAGAAAAAAAATATATGTGATTAATAGTAAGAATAAGAGGAACGGTGACCACACTGGAGTGTCTGTCATGTACAAATTCCTGACAGCAGGGCACGCATCACATGACTAAATTCTTCTAAGGATGGCAGGGAGGCGATATGTTTTCCTGTTTTATGATGGAGAAACAGATTGGTAGACAGGTAGCAGAGCAGCCGGGTTCTGCCTACAGGTGGCAGATGCTATATAAACTACCAGCCTTCCCAGCACCCTTCACTGGAATCCTCACAACTACCTTATAAAGGATTATTTCTTTTGTACTGAGTAAAACTTGGGGCTAAGAGAGGTAGTTTAACCATTTCACATGCCCTGGGTCACAGAGCTGGCAAGGGGAGAAATCAGGATTTGAGTCCAGGTCTGTGCAAGTTACAGGTCCACAATTCCTTCCCTTTCTCTAAAATTTGCAACCCTCAACCCTGTCCCTAAGTATTAAGCAGTAAAGTTGGGTGTAGTGGCACATGCCTCTAATTCCAGCTATTCTGGAGGTCAAGGCAGAAGGATCCCAAGCTCAAGGCCAGCCTGGAAAATTTAGTGAGACTATCTCAAAATAAATAAATAAATAAAAGAGAGCATTCCAGGTTCAACCACACACACACACACAAAAAAAAAAATCAAAGTCTATCTGTCTGTCTCTCTTTTACACACACACACACACACACACACACAAACTCTACAAGCAGGATACATCCTTGGTGCCTAAAACAGTTCCTGGCACTCAATAAAGACTTTTGCAACTAATAAATGAACAAGCCAAGAGTGGACATCTGACTCAAGATGAGATAATCAGATTCTGTCTTCCAGGAATTTGGAAATCAGAGATTCCAGGCAGCCTCTGCTAGTCCTTAAAATGAGAGCGATAAAGAGCCAGAGCCGGACAGCTGTGTGTGGCTGTGCACCCAGAGAAGAGAAGAAAGGGCCAGTTTCAGAGAGAGAAGGAGAGATGAGGCATGTTGCCTGAAACATAGGGGTGACCTAAGTTCCCTGGGCTTCCAGGTCCTAGGCCCAGACTCTCATGAGCCTGGCTGCCCTCCGCCCTTGGGTCCTGTAAGATAGCCTGCACCTGGAACACCTTTTGGTGTTCTAGATTCCTCTTTGGCACAAGCTATAGGATTTCAATTATTTGTGGCTAGAAAATCCCTCACCGACACAAAAGGGCTTGTTCTTTCCACTATGTTCTGCTGCTTCTTAAAATTATGAACAAGTTTTGTATTTATAGAATGTGTTCTTTAAACATGTAACTCAGATGTTACATTGTTAGAGGGGAAAAGGGAGGACATGCTGGTTCATATTTAGGACTCACTTGTTGAAAGTCCAAATGAAGAGAAATGCCAACACGTTAAATGAAAATTTCCCCATTCTCAGACTACAGCTGAGGAGGATTTTTAATGCTACTGAGGGGATGAGATCCAATGCAAACGTGTGGCATGACTAAGAAATAGGGGGGACTTGATGCTTTCTAACCATCCCAAATTAAAACAGGAAAACAGTTACATTATTTCAAAGCTGTGCCAAAATGAGGCATATGTTACACACTCTATTAGCATTAACAACTGCCACCTGCAAGTTATAGCATTTCACTCATGATCTTTGCATCCATTGGGCTAAGTTATTTATTCAGTCATCATAAAAACAAAGAGATAAAACGTATGTTATTGTGCTAATATAGAGAAGGGAGCATAACTTTACCAGAGAGATGTCTCTAAAATGCAGGTTTATCCAGGCAACACGTACCAAAATCAAAGTGGCTTTGCCACCCCAATGTGGGACCAACACCTGCTCCTTGCCAGTGGAGGATCTGATGAGACTTTATCACCTCATCATCCCCCTCCATCCTTACCGCCTTCCTGAATGCAGCTCTCCATTCGGAAGCACCAATTTATTTTAGCTCATTCCATTTAAGAAACTACCAATTTTTTAAATTTATCCATTCTTTCCATAATTATTATGTGCCAGACACTGTGCTAGGCCCTGGGAATAAAGAGGACCACAATTTTAAGTAAGTGCTGGGTATTCATCATCCTGCCTCGCTGTCAGCTCTGTTTAAGGCTTTGCTTTCGTGGCTAATGTCATACTCGATGGTAAAAGACTAAAAGCTTCTCCTCTAGGATCAGGAACAAGATCAGGATGCCTGCTCTCCTCACTTCTATTCGACATAGTACAAGTTCTATCCAGAGCAACAGGAAAGAGGAAGAAATAAAAAATGTTTCTGTGGGATAGGAAGAAGTAAAATCCTCTGCAGATGGTCTGATTTTATTTTTTTGATAAATATTTTTATTTATTTTATTTTTAAATACATGACAGTGGAATGCATCACAATTCTTATTACACATATAGAGCACAATTTTTCATCTGTTTGTATATAAAGTATGTTCACACCAATTCATGACTTCATACATGTACTTAAGATGATGTCTATCACATTCTACCATCATTGCTAACCCTCTGTCCCCTCCCTTCCCCTCCCACCCCTCTGTCCCATCTAGAGTTCCTCTATTCCTCCCATGCTCCCCCTCCCTACCCCATTATGGGTCAGTCACCTTATATCAGAGAAAATATTCGGCATTTGTTTTTTGGTGGATTGGCTAACTTCACTCAGCATTATCTTCTCCAATCCCATCCATTTACCTACAAATGCCACGATTTTATTCTCTTTTATTGCTGAGTAATATTCCATTGTGTATATATGCCACATTTTTTTTATCCTTTCATCTACTGAAAGCCATTTAGGTTGGTTCCACAGTTTAGCTATTGTGAATTGTGCTGCTATAAACATTGATGTGGCTGTGTCCCTGTAGTATGCTGTTTTAAGTCCTTAGGGTATAGACCTAGGAGAGGGACAGCTGGGTCAAATGGTGATTCCATTCCCAGTTTTCCAAGGAATCTCCACACTGCTTTCCATATTGGCTGCACCAATTTGCAGTCCCACCAGCAATGTATGAGTGTGCCTTTTTCCCAACATCCTCTGATTTTATATGAGGGAAACTCTAAGGATTCCACAAAAAGACCATTAAAATAATAAATGAATTCAGCAAAGTTACAGGATACAAAAATCAACACATAAAAATCAGTTGTGTTACTATATACTGACAATGAATGATACAAAAGTAAATTTTAAAAAACATTCTATCTACAATAACATCAAAAAGAATAAAATACTTAGGAATCATTCAAGGAAGTTAAAGACTTATATACTAAAAACGACAAAATCTTCCTGAAATAAATTGAAGAAGACCCAAATAAATGGAAAGACTTTCTGTATTCACAGACTGGAGGACTTCATATTGTTCAGATGCCAATACTTTGCAAAGGGATCCACAGATTCAACATAATCTCTACCCAAATCCCTATGACTACTTCTTTTTTTCAGAAATAGAAAAAAAAACTTAAAATTCATGTGAAATTGTATGAGGGGATAAGAGCCAATCCCAAATTATGAGGGGATGAGATCCAATCACAAAATGTCCAAAACAATTGAAAAAGAACCAAGTTGGAAGTCTGATATTTCCTGATATCCAAACTTTAGAAAAAGCTATATTGTTGTAAAATAATGAGATACCACCTACACACCTATTAAACTGGCTAAAATCCAAAACACTAATACCACCAAATGCTGGTAAGGATGTGGAACAACAGGAACTCTCAGTCATTGCCTGGTGGGAATGCAAACTGTCACCTTTTGAAAGACAGTTGGGCAGTTTCTTACAAACCAAACCGAACACTTGTACCATGATCAGCAGTTGTACTCCTTGGTATTTATTTGAGTGAGTTGAAAACACGTCTATACAAAAACTGCACATGAATGTTTGTAGCAGCTGTATTCATAATTGCCAAAACTGAGAAGCAGTGGAGCTGTCCTTTTATAAGTTAATGGATAAAATACTGTTGCATACAGACAATGAAACATTGCTCAATGCCAAAGAGAAAGAAGTTGTCAAGTCACAAAAAGACATGGAGGAGTCATAAATGCATTACTAAGTTAAAGAAGCCAATCTGGAAAAGACTCCATCGTACTGCGTGGTTCCAACATAGGCCATTCTGGAAAATGTCACTATGGAGACAGTAAAGAGATCAATGGATGCCAGAGAATGGAGGAAAGAGGGATGAAAAGGCAGAGTACAGAGGATGTTCAGAGAGGTGAAATGAATCTGTGAGATACTGAAATGATGGACACATGTCATTATACATTTTTCAAAACCCACAGACAATAAAGAGTGAACCCTAATGTAAACAACGGACATTGGGTGATCATGACATGTCAATGTGGGTTCAATAGTTGTGACAAATGCACTGCTCGGATGCAGGACTTTGATGTTGAAGGAGGTTGTGCAGAGGAGGCAAAGGGGCATATGAGAAATCTTTGTACTCCCTGCAAACTTTTACTATGAACTTTAAAATGTACTGAAAAAATAATATAATTAAAATGAAAACAAAACAGTGTGGTACTGGTGATAGACAGACATATAGACCAAGGGAATAGGAGAGCCCAGAAATTAACTTCTGCATATATTTGATTTTTGCCAAGTATGACAAGAAAATTCAGTGGGGAAAGGGCTGCCCTTTCAATAACTGGTATGGGGGGAAATGGATACTCACATGCAAAAACAACAAATTTGGATCTTTACTTTACACCATACACAAAAATTGAATCAAAATGGGTCACATACCAAAATATAAGAACTAAAAATACTAAAACCACTAGAAGAAAATATGGGGGGAAATCTTTATAATATTGGATTTGGCAACAATTCCTCAGATGTGACACCACAAGCACAGGCAACCAAAGGAAAAATAGATCAATTAAACCCAAAATTAAAAACTTCTCAGGGCTGGGGTTGTAGCTCACTGGTAGAGCATGCGCCTTGCATGTGTGAGGCATGGGGTTCGATCCTCAGCACCACATAAAAATAAATAAAGGTACTGTGTCCATCTACAACTAAAAAAAAAATAAAATAAAAC